CTATAACCTTGGAACAAAAGTTATTCATCAAAGAATAAGCTACAAGCTCATAGCGGTTGAGCCTTAACCGATACAATTTTACCTAGAGTTTTTAACAAAGACTTTTCAAATGATATTCTCGGCTATTGGCGCAAATAGTAAATTGGAGCGATCGAAAATCCCAGAATAAACTGCATATATATTTAGACATTACAGCATTATCTAATTCAGCCTTTAAACTGGGGTAGCTGATCATTATTTTTTAAACAGCGACAATATGGCCTACATAACTATCGTGTTATTCATACTCTTAGATTAAAACTACCATGTTATCGAATAAGAAAAGCGATTATTCGCAGAATACACTGAAAGATGCACTTCGACAATACAAAACCGGTAGTGGATCATCGCGTACAGTTGCAGGTGATTTCGGTATTCCTAGTAGTACTATCAGAAACCATTCGAGAGATTCTTCATTGAAAATTGGAGCTGGCAGACCAAAGATGTTGACGAATGTTCAAGAACAATATTTTGTGGAAATGATTAAGAGTTTAGAAACGATTGGAGCTCGATTAACTAAACAGGTCGTCCTTAGCCTGGCTTCAAAATATGTGAAGCATGTGACCGGTAAGTGTTAAAACGACTTCCAGAATTATACGAAATATTTACTGCTTCTCTTCCTTTCATTTTCGAATTCGTTTGTTTAATAGGTAAAGAGATAGACTTAGGACGAAAATGGTTGAATTCATTTCTCGGTCGAAATAAAGGTGAAATAAAATTGAAGAAAGAAGAAAAATTAGATAGCTATCGTAAGAATGGATTCACAGAGAACGTCCGTCGAGGTTGGTTTCAAACTTTAGAATCGATCTTAGACAACAACAATCTTAAATCGAAACCTGGATCAATTTTTAATATGGATGAATCCGGTTTTGCAGACGAATCACAGCGTAAGAAAATTTTCGATAGTAAATTTATACTCGGTTTCTGATAAAGTGATTCTTTGATTCTATTATTACTGCATAAAAGTAGTGCGTGCGAAGAAACTCTTAGCGGAAGATCTATTTGAAAGACTTTAAATAAAAGGCATGATTATTCCACATTGAAGTGGGATCTAAACCTGTAAGAGGAATAGTTCTGCAATACTAATTTTCTACAAGGAAAAAAATATTTTTCCACAGCAACTTGAAACCGAGAAGAAACTGCTTCTCGGCTGAACTAACCCACATTCTCTATTATTGTAGCGGAACTCGTAGTGGTGTCAAGTAATACAAAACACGTTTATGAGCAAAACGGAGGCACAGGCAAACAATATACAACGGTTGTTGTTTGTACAAGTGCAGATGGTCGTATTTTAGCACCTATGATAATATATTCGGCAAAAAATCTTAACAATTTATGGTGTACTGGCGGACCATCTGGCACGACATACAGTGTCAGTGACAGTGGTTGGATTACAGAAGAACTGTTTATAATGTGGTTCACAAACTTCATTGATTTAACGAAAACTGAACAAAAGCCTATATTGCTTCTTATGGACTCACATGCGGCCCACATTAGTATACAAGCAATTGAATTAGCAAAACAAAATGGCATTATTTTATTGTTATTTCCACCTCATTGTACTCACGGTCTACAACCTTTAGACGTGGTTACGTTCAGGTGAGACAAAAACTACCGGATCGATCCTGGTTATTGAATCAGGAGAGGTGCCATATTTGCTTAGCTTACATTGAGTTTAGCTGTGCTTTTTTCTGCTTTAGCTCAGCAAAACAAATCTGGAAAAAAATTGTTACGAAGTACATAAATCGTACACAAAGAAAAACTATTCGAAAGTTGGATTTACCCGGCATGATAAATCAACTATTCCAAGAGGCCTTTACTCCACGACAAGTTGTAGCGGGCTTTGCCCGCGCAGGTGTCTGGCCTTTCGATAAAAATGCTATGAAAGAAAAAGTTGCTAAGAAACAAGGCATATCGTTAGATCAACCAGATCAACCAATACCACAACAATTAGATCGGTGAGAAATAAATCTTATGCTGCGGTGAGATCTGTCGAGCTTATTTTGTTCGCGATATAATTTTACTAACTATATTTAGATTACGTGCTTCTTCTGGTCCTTCCACACAACCGTTTCAAACTGTCTCAGCACTCTCACTGATACCACCACCTTCCATTCTCGATAATGATGACGATAACGACGACGCGTATCAGCTGAATGCTTTACAAAAATCTACAGGTGAATCGGCAACAACGGCAGTTACTTTCCAATCGTATAAACCTCCATCGTCATATACATTTGAGTAAGTTGGTTAACAGACATTCTGTGCCATAGAAAAACTCATTTTATATATCACGTGCGCATTAAAGTCGCACATGAGTGTTGATTTCTTTCAATTTCGTCTCTTTAGTTTACCATCACTGGGAAATACCTCATCTCGTACATTGATAAATTCGTCAAGTTTACAGTTACAAGAGCCAAGTTCATCAAACACATTTAACTATAAGTATGCCCTCTTTTTTCTTTGTCGAGAGGCTGTTCTATAATTTATTTACTTTGTTTCTTAGTTCAAGTTCGCCTAATCAGCAACTGGGTCCAGATTACGATTATTTGGCTGTTTTTGAAAGAGACGACAGCGACGATGACTACGATGAAGTTAATGAATTTAATGGAATGTAAGGGAAGTTTTCATGCATGTCGCCTCTAGCAAGAAAAAATATAAATAAAATTTATATTTTATTTAATTATAGTGGAAGAGGTGGTTTGAGAACATTTGGACGATATAATAGATCTACGAGAAAACATCAGGAACAATATGTATCAAATAATGATTTAGGAAACATTGATGGTAAAATATTCATTTTTTGCCTAGGTTTTGACTACTTCACATGGTTTAGACTATACTAGTGAATATACACTCGGTTGCGCAACCGAATTCCTGACCCTATTAAAATCTATCATAAAAACTAAGCTACATTCGATCTAAGGTAATCTTTTGATTCATGACTTCCCTGCGCCATTAAAAAGGTGTAAAAGCGAGTGTAAACTGAGCTCAGATTCTTCTAATTTCAATATGTTCCTCATTGCACTATTTAATGTTTTATTAGATGATAATTCTACTCAAACCTATGCTCAATTAACATCTGTTGATATGACCGATTTAACGTACTCGCAACAGTCGTCAACACCGGCACCTACTGGTGCTACTGTTATTAATGCTTCGTTACTCAGTCCTGTTTCAGCTGTACGTTCGATTGTTTCCTCTGTTGTTCAGCAATTCCCGCAACAAGCTGCTCCTGTTGGTCAAAAAACGTCAAACAGAATTCGAGTAGAAAGACAGTATGGAGAAAATATAACATCGGGAAATTTATTGACGGAACTGAAAGAAAAACAAATGGCTAAAACTCAAACACCAGTAGTAACAGCAAAACGTGGTCGTGGTAGACCACGAAAGAATCAACAATCAACATTTAATGCTGCTCGTAGTCCTTTGGGTAACCTTAGCAACGCTTCAGTGTCTATGTCAGCAAGCTCTATCTCAATTATACCACCACCACCAACTACAAGAACAATAATAATACCTCCACCAGCACCGCCTCAAACAATTCAATATGTACTGCTAAATTCTTCAGATTAGAATCTATAAACGTTAACACTTGTTTTAACTCATAGAGTTAACTTTTCTTTCGTTGAAATTTCTTATAGAGCGGAGAAATCTTATATTTGCCATATAGGCATGCAAACGTTTGTGCTGCCATAGCAACTTTTTTACAAAACGATTGTTTTTTCGTGATTATGAAACAGTGTGTTCTGACATACCGTTTGTCATGTTGATAAACGTAAGATGGAAACAAAAACTGATCTGATGTAGTCGACATTTTTCGGCATACAATTCTCTAGGAGACGGTAGTTTTACAACTGGAGCTATAGACGTCTTTTACATATTACTCCCTACAAACAGTTCATATCAGCTTCAATTATTCGGAAGAGACTTCAGAATCACAAACAACATAAAATTCTACATAATTAACAGTGTTGGATAATCTGTTCACATAAATGGCTATTATTTGCCATTAATA